TTACTCGAATTTAACACCACTGGGATAGTTCTGATTCCCTTGATTACCCCAGGTCTTTGCATTTTTCTTACATCTTTGGGTCTCATTAGTCAGTAACAGACAATCATATTAGAGCTATAAGGGACCTCACACACCATGTACCTGGAGATTCCGATACTTAACTTTTCATCAAAATTACTCAAGAAACTCTGTGTTTGTTTCCTTGTTTGCTTGTTTTTTTCAATCAACAAAGCTTCACAGGCTACACCCCCTGGAATTTGATCCAATGGATCTGAATTCACTTCACGCTCAGGAACTTGCACTTTTTAAAAACACGTCACATATTTGGGGATCAGTGACCCAATCCACCACTTCTGTGTGTTTGGTTTTTTTAAGAAGAGAAAACAAACACAGAGACATGAGGAAATGTTTCCAAAGGCACAATGAGTTCAAGGCATAAATAACCCCTCAGATCATGAGATTACGAAGATCGAATATTTCCCTACGTCAAAGACGATTCTACCATATCTGGTATAGGGTCCCATTTGTTAGAGTTGAACTTAAAAAATAAACTAGTAAGTGGAAAAACTGTCTTAGCTCAACTAAGTTCTTTCCTCCTTCCCTTCCTCCCTCTCCCCCCCTCCCCACCCGTTCCTTCTAGGCCTTCAGGCAGGGTAAGGCACAAAAGTAAAAGGAAATGGCATAATGAGAAGACAGGATTTTAATTCACATCTGTTCTGTAAAGACCTGAGAATAGTTTTTTTAAACTTTCTAAATTGATGAGAAAGATTAAATCCTTTGATACAAAAACATTAATGGCTGAATAAAGTACCTGACAGCCAACATTTCTTATAAACTGGGACCCCATAAAAGGGGAAGAGAGATGCCAGGAACCCTGGTGTTCCTAGAACCCACCGGCTGCATTCCCTCTGATGAGTTCTGACTGGGAGCTGAACTATAGTCTTAGATGGGTCACAGGTTATTACTGCTCTCACCAGTTCGCACCAGGGCCTGCTACGTCACTATTCAGCAGTTGTTCAGCTTTTGTTACTATAACAATAAAAGGATAAGGCTAAGCCACAGCCTGACTCACAACAGGAGTCAGAACAGGAACGCCAGGAGCGGGGGAGGGGGGCAGTGCAGCAGGTACTCCAGCTGGGCCCACAGCGAGCAGGGACGGGAGGGGAAGGCTTCAGACGCGGCCCACTGACGGCCGGTGGGCCCCAGGGTTGGAGCTCCCTTGTCTTCCATCTGGAACCCCGTCATTCTGGAAACACCTATGGAGACTAACAACAAGGACTTTACCCTGTTGTGTCATCAATACTTAAAATAAGACCTAGACAAAAGTTTATGTCAGTTGTCGGTTTCTATGAAGCAAGTTCATGCTCCGTTCAAAAATTACTGTAGTAAGACTGCTCTGATTCATTCCCAGGTAGAGATGTGGCCTCAGAGGGAAAAGATAAATGTTCTTTTAACCTAAATCCCATATAATTTTGCAACAATACTAAGTGACCACTGCATTCCTTCATTCATTTACTCAGCCATTATCAAATTACGTATCTAAATCCCAACCACCAACTAGTAGAAATAACCTTTTTTAACTGACCAAAGAAAATTCGTCATGTTCCCTAAAATCAGTGAAAAGGGAAAGAATGCAGAAAGGGTAGAACTTTTGACAGCCCAATGCATCTGAAAGAGTCACACCCAGCAACTGACAAACTCCCTGTGAAGCTTGTTATCAAGCACAAGACCATCAGCTGACCAGTTTGTTTTTCCTCCCTACCCACTTCATTCAACCTGTCCAACAGCTACATTTTCTAAGTAGTATCAAAGCAGAATGGTTTTCACACAGTGTTTCTAAGTGAAGAACACAATGGGAAACACTTTCCCCACCTCTGCAACCTGCACCAGATTTTCTTGTAATAATAGCCCTTTACTGAAATCATGAGAATTCTGTGGTCTGTTGCCTTAGCGTCTCTCTCTCTCTCTCTCTCTCTCTCTCTCTCTCTCTCTCTCTCTCTCCTTTTCTATTTCCTAGTCAGTACTCCTAACTACTACAAATAAAGACGGGTAGTAAAATCATGTTCGGTTGATCTCTGTGATGCAGTTCAGTAGGGGAAAAATAGATCCTGGTTTCCAGACTTAGTCTCTTGTTAAGAAACTATCTCAATCTACAGCTCCCACCGCCCCCCTCCCCCTGGTAGAATCAGTTCATCCAAAATGTAGATGGATTGATTAATTCATTAATTCTCCTGCTCCTTCCATTCTGGTGGTCCAAAGCAGTACATAAAATTTCTTCTGAACCCAAATTTAAAGATATGAAACTTAAAGGACAATTAACTCTGAAGTGCTTTGTTTCAGTTCCTCTTCAGTGTGCGTAAGGTATACATTTTTAAGGCATGGCTGGGAGATTTTGTCTTGCCATTAGAGAAGCAATGATCACAGATAAACTTGAGAAGTATTTCCATATTCCTCATATAAACACCTCTGTGTATTTACCTAATTTGTTGGGAAAGTTTGAAAAACCGAGGTGTTAATAACTCTGCTATGGTTGATATTTTAGAAAGAAAATTGGAAGCAATTATATGAAGACTATACAATATACCCAGCATCAGATTTCAGAGTTATGAAATCTCAACTGAGTTTTACCAAGAAATGTTTTATTGACAAACCACTTAAGATGCCTCATCAAACTCTTTAGGTTTTTGTCGATTTTATTATTTTGTGAAATAAACTCAACCCCCATATCTGTCATTGACGAGATTAAGGAGAAAGGAAGTGAAGCTTCAGAGGACAAACTTCTTTCCTAAAATGTTTCCTTCCACAGGAACCATAACTGGGAAGATTAAAATGTTTCTTTCTGCACTGAACTGTGTCAGTTTTACACTGTGGCGACTACTTGGTATCCAACCAGTATGACTCCACTGCATTTGTGGAATTTTTCTCTTCACCTTTGAATAACTGGAAAATCATTAGGAGAGGGGGGAAAACTACAATTAACCTCTGAGGAGGCAGGGCTAGGGAGGCCCACCACCAGGCAGCCAGCCGACAGTCTGCTCTCGGAGTCAGCCCACCACCTACCAAATTTCAAACTGCAGGCTGACAATACACTGATCAGTGCACTCGGCTAAGACAATGACCTAAGGCTGTTGATTTAAGATACCTAAGATCAAAGGAGCTGGAAGTCACACCTAGCTGCCCGCCCACTGACAAGGGCAGGCAGGTAACTCAGAGTGAGCACAGTGGAGCCAGAGCCCTACCGTACAAGCCCCTGTCAGTAATCCACTCTACCCTCAAGCGGGCCCAAATTTTAACGCAGGACACCAATAACAAGTACGATTTCAAGATTGTGGGAAGGGGAAGAGAAAGAGAGTGAGGTCTGCCAAGACAACTGGTCTGACTGTAGCTGAATTCCAATTAAATGACAAGTATGTCATCACTGTTCAGAATTCTAAAATAATGTTAAGCATCAGAGATGTAAATCTAAAAAAGTTCAAATGAGGTAAGGAGATAGTAGGTGTGAACATGCTTTGTTTAAGATTAAAGTGTTGTTTAAATGGAAATGATTAAATCCCACCAAAGAACAGCAAGTTCACTGGAAGTGAGAAGCAGAAGTACATCCCAAATACTGTGTATGTTTTTTAAATAATTGGGATGGCCCTTCATATTCTTATGTGGATGCCACCCCCTCCCTGTCAAATAACCTATTTGGAGAGCCTAGAATTGTATGAATAACAAAAATAGGGAATAGAGAAGGTCCTAATGCGGCATTTTAGGCTCTCAGAGGAGGAAAGAATTTTTTTAATAATCTGAACCAACTACATAGCCTATCGGAGACCCACAGAAGCCAGGAGACTGGCCCAGCGTTACCAGGCTCTTGGGCAGCAGAGCTGGGCACTGAGATCAGAGTGTGGATGAAGGTCCAGATAAGCTGAGTGTCGACCCATTGCTCTTTCATTTCACTCAGCTGTCCTTTCTTGATAATAAACAGATAAAAAATAGATAGTATAAAAGTGAAGTTTTCACTGAACACTCATATATATATTTTTAATGTAACACATCATTCATTACCTCTCCCTGTACAAATGTGTCTCTTTACTTGAGTGGAGAGCATGTGTCCCAACACCCATAAAATGATTTCCACACTTCTCCCTAACTCTCCAAACTACTGGGTTCTTACACGGGAGCAGAATATTCACTGCTTTATTAAATTTGTACTAAAGAAAGACAAAGGTTTTTATATGACAGAAACTGTATCCTGAACCTTATATTTTAAACCAACCAAGAAACAGGTTTATGGCTTTCTTTATTATCTATCTATATACTATTTTGGAATGAAATGTAATTCTCCAAGGATTTTTTTTCCTTGTCATTGATAGGCAACAAAATTATTTACAAAGAATGTTTAAGAGCTACTACCAATAAAATTAAGGAATTCTTCTAAAATGAATGAAATATTCAACCTAAAAGAATATAGCAAATACATTATTCTTTTTAGATAAGTGCTATTATTAAAATAGCTCATCAAAACACCTTCCTTCCCATGAAAAGGATTTCCCTCTCATAAGAGGAAGATTTGGCTCACTGTGTCCCCTACCAGCAAAGCACAACCATCCACCCGCCATTCAAACAAGAAGGGAGAATCCTCAGTCTTGTGCCCATGTACCAACTGTAGTGGAACTTCAGGTCTGCAACTCTTTCTTGATAATCACTGTGAACAGCATAGTTCAAGATGCAATGCCAGACAAGGATGTAAGCTGGCTCCAGGCAGAGGTAATGAAAGGTTAAGAAGAAAGCAGACGGGTAAGAGAAGTAGTCACAGGAAAAGTACCCATGCCTACATCTTCTCTAGAGAGAGAACGACTTGCTCCTGCACACCCACCAACCACCCCAGGTCTCCTACTGAGAAACACTCTGGAAACAAAAACAACTTTCAGATCAACACAATTTCACCTGCTTGGTACCCAGTGAATTAAAGAAGAATTGCATGTAGATTTTTAAATAGAACTAGAATTTCAAACCTGTTGCCGAGCTCCGTGTCATCAGTGCCCCTTCCGACCCTGGCACATTTTCGAATCTTTGCATATAAAAGTGGCTTGTAAGTCCTCCCAGCACCAGAAGCAGCATCACCCACACAGCTGGCTGAATTCTGCTGGGCCCCTGGCCGGCTTGTCGACTTGGCTGTGCCGCCACACATCTCTTGGGCGTTTTAACCTTCTTCTGGTTTATCCTGACTATCAACATGGACTTGGACCCAAGTGCTGACGAGCCTTTGTTGTTTGAGGGATATTCCGCAGTGACCAGCCACCCTAAATGATCGTTGCAATCCCTGTACAGTAGGTTGAGACAAGCTATTTGGCAGCAGCCTATGAATTTCCTCTTTCAAAGCTTTTTCTTAAGAAAAAAAAAAAAAGTACATTCATTTGTAATGTAAATTACAACCTCCACTGGTTTAGGAAGTCAGATACACCCATCAGTTATAAAACATGCTCTCAGCAAACCCATTATAAACAGACAAGTCCAAATCTCACTTCCTACTTTTGTTCCTAAACTTGTGCTCCTGTTCACAAAAGAAAAGCACTCAACAGGTTGAGCAGCTTGGACTGACTCACTCCATCTGAGCTCCTCTGTTAGAAATTACGGGGTAGTCAAGCAATGGGTCACAAGACCTATTCATACCGCTCTGAGCAAACACAGTGGCTTGCCTTCAGCTGCAAGGTTGTTCTGACATTGGCCACACCACCCTGTTAATGGCTCTCATGTGAGCAAGTGTCAGCTGACAGGTGTTACTCTGCAACCTTGCAAAATTCTGCCCATGGCAGAGCTTTGGTTACACACAACAGACAAATGTAGGGCTTAATGTATAGGGAATGATGTGGGGCAGAGAGAGTACGGACATGTCTTTGCTTGAATACCAAACACATATTTTAAACTGCTATATAAATACATATGTATGTGTGTCAGAAAAACAGTAATAAGTAAGAAGCCATAAATTCTCAAAACTCTTGCACTGAATTCCTGATTCCTGGGCATATTCAAGCTGGAAAAGCCCTGAACTCTCAGAACCCAAAGACAAAAGCAGCTCAGTTTTTACTTCTGACACTAAATTCTTCATCTGTAAAATAAGAATAATGTTATAGAATCAGTATGACTTTTCTACAGTACTGTGAGCTCAAGGGAAAAAAAAAAAGGTTTTTCTTTTAGAAGAAATAAAGCATGGGTCCCCCAAAATACAGGTCAAATCTTGACACAATAACTAAAGGACTGTCCCAATTCCTTCCCCGCTTCCTTATCCCTGAATGTGGCTGCAGAAAATATTAACAGATCCCTAACATCTGATTAACCTTGGCTGAATATTTAGTTTCAGAAGATTTTAAATGCATCTTCATACACAGCAGCCATATATTTCACTTCACAAGTGTGAGAAAAATCTCATGCTACCATGGCGGAAATCTCAATTACCTTAAGACTTTATTATGTATGTTACCCTAACGTTCCTCTATAACAACCCCAAAAAGATCTTAAATCTATCCTCCTCTGAGAAATAAAGATGAAGACACACCTACAACAGCGACCAGACTTTTCTGTGGAACATGCTAAATGCACAGTGCCAACATAAAACCAGATGAGGAAAAAATGAGTTCATTTTTCCAGAAAGGAGAGAACACATTTTAAACTTAAAGCTGAACTGCATGGCCATCGTACAATCATGGGCTCTTCTTTTTCCCCTTGAATTGTCTCTAGCGGAGACGCAGAGATCACTTCGGCAAGCACTATAAATGTTTCATGTTAGGTACAGGGCAGCTCGGTGAGCAGAGGCTGAGGGCAAAGCTTTTCACCGCCAGCAGGCCCACCCAGCAACGCCTGGCCCACGTGAAGCCCCAAATCGACCCCCCACTTCAGCTAGGGTTTACCTCGTCTAAGAGTACAGGAGAAATAAAAGTAGAGCTCAATGGTGATGGGGTGGGATCTTTAAAAATGCCAATAAACTGAATTTTATCAAATACATAGAGAAAACTCTAGAGGGAACACATCCCACTTTTTAGGTATAAGATTAAATTTTAGTTTTAAAACTTCAGTCTCTAAAAGGTATTTATCTAGGACTTGATGAAAGGATATGAAACCCTCTTTAAATATGTATTCTGTATATACACTTATCTAGCAGGTATCCACGAGACTCTTCAATAATTCTGATATTTTACGTTTTCCAAAGACTTCAAATACTGCTATAAAAATACAAATTTTATTCCCTGTCCAGGTGATCAAACATTTTAAATGACCAGAATAATAAGAGGTAAAAAGGACAACATGCATACAAAGGACATTTGGATGACACGAGGATCAAACTGCACTGGGGGAAAAGTTTCCTTAAACAGACACCGAACGCACAGGAAACCCTACACTCCTGTGTGCTTCCTTCGCTCAGCCGGCCACCTTCAACTCAGCACTCGCTGCGTGCAGTCACCGCTTCTCCCTCAGCTCAGGCAGCACACCTTTTAGCCACCATTTCCTTGGTAGAGCGAGGCTAAAACTTCAGCCTGCTTGTAAACAGGACTGTCTAGGCCTGGCCCAGGGTTTATGATTCAGCACTTCTGGGGCAGAGACTGGGAATTTACATTTCCAAGTTCCCAGGGTGCTGTTGCTGCTGCCCTGGGAACCACACACTCAAGAACCACTTCCTCAGTCGTAATTCCATCTTCCCCAAGAAGCCTTCCTGGGCTGAAAGACCTTTTTCTCTCTTGAATTCCTCTTTAATTTTTTTAAGCCACATTTTTAACACAACACCTAACTGCTTTGCTAAAGAGTCGTGTACATGTCTTATGATCCTTACTAGATCATAAATTCTTTGAGTATCAAAACTGGGTCTTGACGTTCATCTTTGCACCTCAGATCAGTCTTGCGCGTGGTAGCTGCCCCATATATATAGCTTTTTGGTTTGTTTAATGCCACTGGATATTTACATTAAAATTATGACCTGAATCTGCTGCAACAAAAAGTGTGCTTCTTTTTGCATATACTCTGACCAGGAGGGTGCTGGTGCTCAAATACACATACCTTCTCTTTCTCTCACTTACTGCTACGGGGGGAAGAGTTCACCACCCCAACATGTGCCTTTTTGGGATACTGATTATTTTAAGTTGGTTATTTTCAAGAAAGGATTCAGACAGAATACCCTGCTTAAAGGAAAGGAGTTTCACCTTAACATATATTATGAACTAAGTGTGGCAGACAAGGAGAAACCCAGCAAAGTCTGGTAGATTCCACTCTGTGTCCCACTGTTTCCAGGCGGCTGACAAAAATTTGTTTACTCACTGTTTTGCTGCTTCTCGTCTACCTGTGAATTACCTAACTTTTCTTTGAAGTCCAAACCACTTTCTCCTTAGCTCAAGATGGCACGTAAGCCTCAACTGCCTGATGTGTCCTCGGCCTCATATTCTTATGGAACCCCAATATGTACATACATAATAAATTTGGTTCTTTTCTCCTGTTAATCTTCCTCATGTCAATTTAATTATTAGACCAACCAGAAGAGCTATAAATAGAAATGAGGGGAAACTTTTCCCTTCCCCACAGCTATAGCAAAAGTTCCTTTAAAAGTTCTAACAACCTACGTTCACTCCAATCGATATGACTCATGTCACCTTAACAGAAAAGACTTTAAGATTTTTAAAAAGTAAAAATGCTATTTGCTCTGCTCCTCCCCTTAAAAACCCAAACATGATAAGATGTAATAAAGTAGTGATGTATATCAAAAACACAACCATTGTACACTGGATGGCTCCAAATTTACTTATATTTAAATGGGGATTTTAAATTTTCTTCAGTAAATTAAAAAAAAACAAGTAATAATCATACCATTGCAACTACTCTTCTGAGGTATTAGGGCAACTCACAGAGTAGCTAAGAGAAAGGTATGTTTAGACCTTCTGCCCTCCCAAATCCTGTTTTCTACCTCAATCCAATCTCCATTTTCCTCAGTCTTCTCTTTCCCCGAATGGAATCATACTCTCATCTAGGTACTTACACTATTACTCATTTGCATGCTGGACACCCTTCTCTTAAATATTAAATAATATGCATATTAAACTGATCATCAGCCCTATACATAGCCCTACTCATGACGACGTTCTTCGCACAGCTCAGCCGTGCCTGCACGTTTAGAGAAGCCTGTCTGCCTCACTGACTGGGCTCCCACAATCCCCCTGCAGTTCTGTATGTCGACTTGAAACTGCTGCTGTCACCACTGGCACTTTCACAACACAGATGATCTCTCCCCGAGGTTGGACCTTGTTGGACGTGAGGAACAGAGGAGTGTGTAAGAAAGGGGGTCTGCTGGTTTAACTGTTTAAGCTGTATCTGCTTCCAGCCTCACAACCCAGGCACTCACTGGTCCTAGAGAAGAATGCTAAGTTCATGGGTCAAGAAATACCCTCAGTATCCTTTTAGACCATCCAAGGCAAATATCTGGGACTCAAGACACCAGTCTAGTCTCTTTTGCCCATGACCATAATCTCTAATCAGCAAGAACGCTCCTGTTGTGCCCAGACTCCTCCCAAATCCTCCCCATGCCAGTGTTCCGGGCACCCATTTCCAATCCAAAACATTTGGCATTGGAGAAAAAAATCCATTCCAATGACTAATTCAGAGTCAAGAGAAGTCAAGTCAGGAAAGTTTCAAGGTAAGTAAGTATTCATGCAGTTTTGCATTCACTTGACTTCACACTCTTCAGGTGATTAAAAAAACAAAAAACAAACAATCAAAAACCAGTGATCAGTGTACATAATGAAAAATTAACTCAAAGCCACAAGTGAAAGAGATGGGTTTGAAGCAAGAAAAAAAAACAACACAAAAACCAAAAGCCTAACACAGTTCTCCAAAAAGCCCAGTGTAATTATTTTTAACTGATGAATCTTTCTATAAAGAATATTTCTCTACCTATCCATATTGCCTTAATGAAAAAAAAGGAAAAATAGATGAAGGAGAGGCTGTGGCAGTTTCTCTTACTGGGGTACAGTAGTCACCTCTTATCCACAGGGCATAAGTTTCAAAAACCCCACTGCACTGAATGCCTGAAACTGTGGCTAATACCAAACCCTATGTATATTGTTTTTTCCTGTACATACATACCTATGATAAAGTTGAATTTATAAGTTACACATAGTAGGGATTAACAATAACTAATAATGAAATATAACAATCATAAATATATATTGTAATAAAAGTTATATGAATGTGGTGTCTCTTAAAATATCTTTTAAAGATTATTTAATTTATTTATTTGGGAGAGGGGAAGACAGGGAGAAAGACAGAGAGAGAAACATCAATCAGTTGCCTTTCGCGTATACCCCAACCAGGGACCTGGCCTGTAACCCAGACATGTGCCCTGACCTGGAATTGAACCAGTGACCTTTCACTTTGCAGGACGGTGCCCAGCCACCTAAGCCACGCTGGTCAGGGCATCAAAATATCTTACTGTGCTAGACTCACCTTTTTTCCTGTGATGATGTGAGAAGACACAATGCCTGCTTAATGAGATGCAGTGAGGCGAATGACCCAGGCATTGTGACACAAAGTTAGGCTGCTATTGGCCTTCTGATGACAGGTCAGAAGGAGGACCATTGAGCCATGATGATATAATTTCTTCCACCTACAAATTTAATGCCTTTTCCATCTTAACTAAGCATTTATCTATCACCCACTGTGGCTATAACTTTTGTAGTTTGACGTACAAC